AGTGCTCCTTAAGTGTAAACGGTTGCATCGGCCAGATTAAAATTTTCACCGATAATAGACATTAATGAGAGGAACAAGTTACGACGTAAATTCATTCATGAATTGGGAAATTTCAGATGTTGCATATGAAGATGTTAGATACCACAACGAAACGAAAATTAATCAAAAACGTGATCCGCACTCCATTATATTGTATAATATTGTTTAAATACAGCGAATGTTTAAATATTGGATGGGTTAAGTGCCTGTAGATCCCTTAATTCACTGTTTTCACATGCATGCATTCTATCTCATTTATTGTGTTATTCACCTTTGGCACAGCCGTTTGGTGTATTGAGAATTACTCGATCGCTCACAACTACATAAAGACAACCCCACGCGCTAGTGAGACCTCACAGTCCAATTCAGTTACATTTGGCGTGATAATTCACTTAAATTACTGCAACAATTTGTCACTGCATTTTGTTCGACAGTAGCAATCACCCATCGAATCCCGCAGTAAATAAATTTCGTCAGTAAAACAGAAGATATAATAGTTTTTAAATGCCCACACTATTGTGTACCGTTAGTTCATTATTCCATATTTGACGAACTGTTCCANCCATGCAGGGTTCATCACACACTGAAATCACAAGGGTACTTAGCTAACTAAAAACTTTCTTTCCTGAACCGGTTTCTTACTTAGTTTATCATTTTTTTCTTGTTTTACATCGCATTCCATGGCGAAATATCTCATTTGGGGTGAGCAAAGCAACTACTGATGTGTGTGCGTGCTATTACTCTAAAATGCTTNATGCTTTATTTTTGTCGGTAAAACCGGAAAAGATTCAGTGGACAAGCAGATGGCGTCAGCCGAGATGGTATACGAAGTTTGATGTCGTATTGTATTATAAGTAACGCTGAAAACGTGTGTGTAGGTCAAACTTTGGTGTAAGAAACTTCTGTATGGTTCTTCATAAACCAATGGGTTGTTTCGCGCATTCTTTGTGTAACCGGTGTTCTTTAGTCGGTTTAGGTGCATTTCATAGTTTGAATGTGTTTGACGAAGTCGAAGATCACCTGACTTGACACCATTCCCATAAAGGCAATTAAGGAGAGATATCGGTCATGTGATATCTGATTATATTCTCGTGCCATCTGCCAAACGAAGTGCTGCCGATTGCCGATACAAAGGTCAAGTGTGGTGGTCAGGTGTGGTGCTATCCGACATATGGGAGAGGAAAATGCACAGTAAAACAGACTAAACGATGAAGGAGACCGCTTCAAAAACCATTAGGTTGTATATTTTTTTCAGATGCACGATACGCTCAACTTGTGGTTCAGTCCCGGATGATGACCCAAGGCTGTATACGCAGTTGGGTCGGTGAACATCGATTTACATTACATCAACCAAAACACACGAAGCGAAGAGAGAACACTAGTTTGCAAATTATTCCCAGATATCAGGTAATGTTTACAGTCAAGTTGGACCTCGTTCATTCTATCGTACCTCCGGGAAGAGATGATGTCCTATGTCATTGTACAAACAGGGAAGTAATAAACGGACTGTTTGAAGGTACTGCCGAAAACAAAGCTGTACGCTATCGAGCACGTACTCAGATCACGAATCGGGGATCGACGACCAATATGGGTGGGGATGTGATCTTGAATATGGTAAGCCGGACTCACTGAGTAAGCGGTCGTGAACGATCAGCAGCAGTTCTTGATGACCACATGTTTTTGCTCGGATAGCGCTCTCCACTACAAAATATCATTAAAGTCCGTAGAATGCATTGCGATGTAGTGATCACTGCTCGCTTACCTCGATCTGGGCAAAAGGGCAGTACCACGCCCACAATCTAACCATGGAGTTATGAAGTCATACATACCTCAGACTCTCACACTCATACAAACCCCTCTTCTCAAAATCTGCACGCAACACTTCCACTCGTCTCCCACACAACACCCCATTTTTTCCACTGTATGCTCTATCTCGAATAGTTCCACTGACGTAGGTTCATGTTGTAGTTCGCCGCTATCCTCCTCAACATCCGGCTCAGCAGTGCTGTGTTACTCGGAGCCGGCTGTTCCATTCCTCTGACCTCGCTCTGCGTTTAAACTGGCTCTGTTTAACGTAAGAACTAATGCGTATAGGACAAGAAAATTTGGCCCGTAAGTTCGAACGTCTAGAGATTCGTTTGCGTTGCCTCTCGGAAACACGTATTCAGGCCCCGAGTTTAGTCATCCGATTGTCTCCTTTTGATTCAAAAGCGTTTAAACTGAGCGTTTCCGAGGATCCTGTCGTATCAGCTTCTGGTCAAGCAGTTGCCTTGAGTGCCATGGTCCAGGCTGGTCTATTGGACTGGATCCTATGGATCCCGACCATGCGCAGTGAGACTCTGAGGCTCCAGTGTTTCAAAAAGCAGAAAAGTAACGAACGGTGCTTATTCGTGGTTTTCGCATAAGCTCCCAAAGACTATAGCCAGAATACAGCAAAAGATGCCTCCTATCACAGCCTGTATGAGCTTCTTCTCCAAACATCTAAAACGGATATCGTGATTCTGGACGGAAACCTAAACGCACGCGTTCGATGTCTGTCGCCCGATGAGATTCATCTTGGTGGCCATCATGGCCTTGACAGCTGTCCTTCAGACAATAGGGATGAACTTCTTAGTGTATGCTCAGAACACAGCCTATTCCTGGTTAGCAGGGACTTCAGACATTCAAAGCGTCACCTTGCCACTTGGCGCAGACCCTCTTTGGTACAGATAGGGACTCAGATATATCACATAATTGTTAGTTATAGATGGAGAGGGGGTTAAAAAGACTGCCGTTCGTATTGGTCTACTTGCTTGAACCCCAAACGCGCAATGGTTTACGTCAGGTTGTCCATGCGATTTTGTGGCCGCAAAAAGATGGGATGCAAACAGCTTGACGTCGCCAAGCTTTCTGATCCGACCGTTCTAGCTGATAAACAAAATGAGTTGACCGTGAGGTAGAGAGCTACACCACCAAGAAGTGGAGATCAACATTGGGCAGTCATTCAAAACGCAATGCACTCAACTAGTTTACACAGTTGTGAACTGACCCATCGAGTCGTGAAACACTGGGCCCCCTTCAACTCTCCCAGAGCTCTTGACCCGTGTGGGGTAATCCCTGTAAACAGTGTGTACAGCGTCTATCTCTGAAGCGTGAACTCACCCGCATATGGTGGGAGTATCGCGTGAATAACGATGAGATTACACGTGTGTTAGGGTCAGATAGCCTTCCATGGACCAAAACCAT